GTCTGCCCACATGTAAATGCAGTCACTGACCCCTGAAGCACAGAGCCAAACACCGATAGCCTGACTCACTCCAGTGGGCAAGACTCAGATCTCACATAAAGACCAGGGAGTGGGACCTACCCATACAAGGCTTGAAACCAACTCATTGGCAAAAATGGATTTATTTGCTTGAGGAAGAAAACCAGGATTTACTTTTACTGCACAGACCTGATCATGAGAATACTTTTCACATGTAGGTTTTCTTCTGGGTGAGAAGTCCCATTCAAGTCAGCATTGGCAGGCCCCAGCTATTTACTCTCTATAGTTGGCATTGCCAGCATCAACATTTTTTGTTTCAGCTCCACATCAAAATTCATGTGGGTGAAAAGCTTTCCCAGACACAGAGCATGAGCACATGATCCTCAACATTAATGAGGAAATTGATTAAGCTCTGCTGCACGTATATGTGTGCAAGAGTGTGAGCATAAGTACCAATTTTAGCTTGGCTGCAGTGATTGTTCCATTGATACCCTGCCTGTTTGTTTGCTTATAACTTTCCTTAAAAATATTCCTTTAGGTCTGGAGTGTGTTCTGCTTGCTTTTGGCTCAAAGGTGACTGAAGGAAACGATAGGGGCTGCTTCCAAGTTACAGGAGCCCAAAAGGAATGCACTTCCTCCTGTACTTGCACTCCTGGCTTGGTGTTTGTGAGCTGCCAGGGGACTGAAATGAATGACAGTGCCCTCTCAGAGGTGCCCAGAGAAAAATTCTTATCAAATGCTGTGTCCTGCCAAGTCTCACAAACACTGTCTGCCTGCAGTAATGGGGAGAAGCATTTGGCAGCAAGGCCCTAGGTTTTGGACATCAAACTAGGGGGAAGGGACAAGTGACACCAGCAGGGATGGGGCCACTTTTTCTCCTGTATGACAGATGATCTCCAGAAATTTTGGAGAAGTGTATAGGTGCACTTACCATGCTGGTGAGGCTGTGTTGTAAGGTTTGCTTTTCCTTGTTCAGTATCTGAGTTACTGTGAGAGTGCCCACTGCTGAGAGAGGATGTTTAAAAAACCACAGTAGGAAGGAGCAGCAACAGGAGTGCATTAGGCATGTTTGCTGGTGGGCAGTGCATGGCAGACACAGAGGACAGCAAGCCTCTTGCTCCTCAGAGGTGTCAGTGTTTGACACATCCACTGGGAAGTGTGAACAAAATGTAAGGGAGCTTGTTTCCTTTCTCTCTCACGCTCAAAGACATTTACTATGTGCATTTGTCAGGTAGGTAGGAATCCTGCTTACAGAATTAATGACACAATCAATCTTGCAGTGTGCAAGTTTCATGTCAGGACAAGGAGAGAAAGGTGTTAGAACACACAAGAGAATTCAGAAGCATTATATTTGTTTTCCACCTCTACTTAGATACTCTCATGAGGCATGGGAGCTCCTACCCAGATATCCTGCTCCTAAGTGAATACAGTAAAATTAGTTCTGATTGCTCCCCTCCTGTGCAATGGTAATGACTCACTTTTGTCCCTTACGTGCTTTTCTCATGTCAAAATTAGGTTAGCTTTTGGACAGATGCTTGCTTTGTTGACAAAGTCAGCTTCTTTTCAGGGAACAGCACCACAAGGGACATTGACTACTAGATAACAAGAGTTGCATGAGAAGGTGACACAAGCTGCAGAGCTAAGAATGCTGTGTATGAGGAAGGAAGTTGGATGTTTGCTTTACAGAGAGAGGCACAAAAGAGGAAATGCAAAATAAACAAAAGAAACATGAAAGCTGTCACTATTTCCAGAAAGAGGGAAGAGAATTGGGAAAGATATCTCTGATTCACTATGGACTTGAGGAAGTTGTCTTTGCAAGGAGTGAGCTGGAATAGATTTCAGGATTGATAGATTTGGAATAGATGCAAGTACAGTGCGGAGCTTGAAGAAACACAGGTGATATAAGAGGAATGCAGAGCAAGAGTTGAATGTCCCTGTTTCAACAGGAAAATTCTGGATAGGCTCAGGGTGGATACTTGGATGGATAAGGATGATGAAACAGGAATGAACATGAAATAATGAACATTAGGAAAGGAAGGAGCTGGGTACTAAAAGCATAAAGGATCAGAAACTGGATACAAGTGAAGCAAAAGGAAAACATGTGAACAAGCACATTTAGAGTAGTGAAGAGGTGTATCACTTTAAAAAGCATCCTAACTCCACTGTGTTTCATGACCATTTTGAAAATTTTATTGGGAAGCTGGTGTTTTCTATTTCCTACAGTCTATTCTACATCTTATGTTTACTCAAACGGATGCTGAATTCCTGGGGCTGACATCAAAACCACCTTCCCTGAAAAGCTGGGGGAAATACTATAACCCTTAACAGCAAATTAAACCACAGTGATCCTTTAAATGGGTCATGTGAAACACCTGGATTGTAACTTGTTTCCAAATAATTTATACAACACTAACAGGGCATTTCCCAACCTTACACAGGTGGCTTTGCTGCCTTTGCTTTTCCTCCCCATTGCCTCCTTGCCCCATCACTTTTAGCTTCCCCTTCATCTGTTCTAATGCCCAGCCCTACTTCAAACTTACTCCCTGTCTTCAACTTCTCTTCACTAGCCTCCTTAGCTTTCCAAATTATGGTTGATAGGGTTGTTTTTTTTTTGTTGCTGTTAGCAGATATGACCTCAAATCCTTAGTAACGTGCCTGCAAAAGTTTATCAGCATATGCTCAGCTTTGTTCCTCACCAGTTTTGTGCCTCAGATGGGCTGATTTCTAATTGACCTGAAATTCAGACAAAACATCTGGCTTCGATCTGAAGTCGATTAATAGTGTCCCAACCCATGGCTCTCCTAACAGTGTACAGTAGCATGAAGCAAGAAGGGAGGACATGGATGACAGCAGCACTGGGAACACCAAATCACAGTGGTGGACTGCAGGCATTACAGTGTAACAGGCACCTCACAGAGTGGAAATGACACTGTTGCAAGAAAATGATATACATAATAAATTACAGAGGTCATGCTGAGGCTAGGTTTTCAGTACTATACAACATGCATGGGAAGAAACAGATCTGTTAGCTTGTTTGTCCTTCCAGGATAGCTGAATACCAGGAGCTTGTGAATGCAAGATACAGTATTTTCACAGGAGCTAGATCCAGATTCTGGAAGAACTTTTCACTAGAGAAAAGAATGTTGTTTAGGTTTGCTGCTTCACTAAATATAGGACTCCTATCTCTGCAGTAGTTTCTCTTTAGAGGTGCACTCCTTTCTCCTTTCATTCTCAAGCACACCCAGGCACACAAACAAAAACAAATGAGTTATAAACTAATCAAACTTGTTTTCTTCAGGTTGGGAAGGAAAAGAGATAATATTTTGATTTCAATTTCCAAATCTTTGGGAGGTGCTCAGATATTATCTATCATAGTGTTTCAAGCTTCTTGCTGTAATGGTGTCAAGTGTCTCCAAGCAGTTAAAAAGCAACAGTTATCAAAATATATTTTTCCATCAGTTCTCTCACCCGTTTCTGCTTAGAAACAAGCAATACAAGCAGATTTTTTAACTGTGGAGTAAAACTGTGATCTTTCTGTGAGCAAGAAGAGCTGTAAAAAGGGGAAAAATTATTTTTGGTTTTGGACCTCTGAGATCAAGGTCACGTTTTGTTCCCTTAGGAATGAGATTTTGTCCAAATCTGGTCTCAGCAACTCCTAGAGTCACAAGCTTCCTCTGTTTGCATAGTTTCACTGTTCCTGGAGAAAGTGACGGGCATCATCAGAGAAGAACTGTTGGAGCCTAATTTACTCAGGCCAATTCCATGGAATGTCTCCAAACACTAGCTTGAAATGGGGTGATTAAATCCAGGTCCTAGCTGAAGTTAGCATGAAAAATACCAATGTGTGTTGCTGTATCAGTAGCCTATAGCAGCCCCTGTGTTTTCATGGTGCAAAGCTTTATGCTAAAGCTGTCTTGTGCCAGAGTCTGCTGCTGTATACATCAGTGATTTATTCCACCAGCGTGGGTATCTGGGACTTCAGAAGGAGCCAAGAAATACAAATATAACAGTATCCTCAAAGAGCTTGGCATTATGAAGAAAGAAAGCTCTACATGTTGCAAGCCTTCCTAACACACACACACAAATGGCATTATTTGGGTTCTGCTTTCACCAGATGTTCTTCCTCTGACACCAATTTTCCTTAAGCATCATAAACAGACAATCCTACTTACACATCCTGTCAAGCAGACAGCGCTGAGTACTATTTGTATACTGCTTCTCTTTAAGTTGCCCAATAAATACTTCAGTGGCTTCATGGATGGGGGACAGCTCCTCAGGAGGCACTTCTGGGAGAGGAAGAACTGTGCTGGAATCCTGTGGTTTTGTGTGCTATTCACTGCTGTGTGTTTGGGGAGGAGAAGAGCCCTGTTGCAAGGAGTAATGGAAGTTGCAGATAGCTGGGAGGGAGGATGGGACGGCACTTCGGCAATGGGCGGCAGGAGGTAAGGACGCCAAGTAGCTGCTCCTCAGTGTGTGTCACTGGGATAAACGTAACCACATTTACGGCTGGAGGAACCAGCCTGGGAGAAGGCACCTTAAGGAACAGCTGGTAATTTTTATGAACAGTAACCAAGTAACTTCGTACAAAATCCCAGGCTGCCAAGGACAGAGCCACCAAATAAGCCCAAGAGGCATTAGCTGACTACCAGAACAGTGGGAGGCTAATCATGAAAGACCTAAAAACCACCAGTGTTTTCGTGCTGGCCGTGATGTACGTTCGAGAAATTTTTGGCGAGCTTTCAAATAAAAGTAACTCCGAAGAGAAGCCCGATCGCAGCAACCAGCAGGCTGCGAACCCCTAGCTGCATAAGAACAGATTTTTTTTCCCCCCCCTTTGAGCTTTCTCTAGCCTAAGGTGATGCCAAAGGAGTTTCCACAAAAACTTTACAGGCTGACAATTACAAAACTACTTCATGGGCGGAGACACCCCCTACTTGCTCCACGGAGACTTTACCCGGCGCTGAACCCGAACAGGGGCTCACCGAATCTCCCGAGAGAAGCCTGTCCAGAGGAACAGAAGCCTGCCTTCCCCCCGCAAGGGGAAGGGAGCCCGGGGCAGGGGAGGCTGCCCAAGGGCCGGGGATGCCGGGGGAAGCGATCCCGGCCTGAGGAGCGGCTCCCGCCCCCTGCCCTCGGCCCCGGCGCTGAGGGGGCGGCGCGTGTCACGCGGGCGGGGCGCCGAGCGGTCACGTGACGCGGGAGAGGCCCGGCAAGGCCCGAGGAGGAGCTCGGCCGCCGCCATTTTCCTGCGGCGCCCAGTGCGTGTCCCTGTCCCCGGCCGGGCGGGCGCGCAGGGGGAGGGGACGGCGGCCGGGGGAGGGGGGCGGGAGGAGGAGGGGTCCCTGCTCGGGTGACAGGTCCGTCCCTGAGGGCGGAGCGGGGGCCGCCTGCGGCACGGCGGGGTGAGGAGCCCGCGCAGCTCCATCCCCCCGGCGACTCCTCCCGTCCCGGCCCCTGAGGAGGGAGCGGAGCCGCGTTCGGTTCCAGCGCCGCCAGCGAACCCGCCATGTCCGGCCAAAGCCTCACCGACCGCATCACGGCGGCGCAGCACAGCGTGACCGGCTCGGCCGTCTCGAAAACCGTGTGCAAGGCCACGACCCACGAGGTCATGGGCCCCAAGAAGAAACACCTGGACTGTGAGTACCGGGAGGGGACGGCGGCCCGAGGGATCTCCCCGAGCGTCCCGCCGAGGAGCGGGATTGCCTGGCCTGTCCCGGGGTCCCGCTGCGGGGCTGCCGCCCATCCCACCGGCCTCGTGGGGACGGGAAACCTTCTCAGGCGGAGGAGCTCAGGGTTTCAGCATAGGGCATACCCGGAGGGCGGGGGCGTAGGGTCGGGGACGTGGCGATGGAGAGGCTAGGAGAGGCTGTTGAGTGTATCTGCTCTCCAAAAGGGGCCTTGCCAGCTCTTCCTTATGCACACGGCCCGGACAATGTGAGCTCCTGAAGGACGGGACCTGCCCCATACCCCTTTATTCGGGAGAGGGAGAACCACGGAGGCCAGGTAGAGGAATGGGCTGCAATTTCCTTACTAATTGATCTCATTTGTGTCGTGCTAAGGCAGCACTCCCCCATTCTTTAGAGGAGGTGCAGGAGTTTCAGGAAGGAATAGCTGATCACTTACCTTAATTATTTTTCAGGTAATCTACTAGGAAAAAAAAAATCCTTCTTTAACAATCACGTAAATTTTCCATGTAGGAAAATATGTGAAACGACTGAGTCTCTCAGTAAGGATGTTCTTGGTCTTCTTCATAGTCTGTCTCATTCACTTGGGAAGATGTGTCTAAGAGGACTTCTTTAGAACTTCAGTACCTGATCTTAACATACCATACAGGATCTGGCCATTTTTCAGCTTCTATTAAGACCAGATCAAAGGTGGGAAGGCTTAAAAGGTTTTCTAACAACTGTGATCCGTCCAGGTGAATATGAAGAGAATTATGAACACCAAAGTTCACATTAGTGTGTCTCCCACTAAGCTGTAAGGTCAAAGGACTGAGGAAGTTCTTGGTCTGAATACCTGATTGTCTTGCATCTTTTTATTCTAGGCCTTTTAAGGACAGCCCCTCCCCATTCCCTTTCACTTTCCCAAATATATAATAAAAGATTGGAGATACTTGTGTGTCTGTGCTTTCTGTATGTGTGCTTTCTCCCTTCCTCCCTCTCACGTCTGCAGAAGAAGGCTGAGTCTTCATGAGTCTTGAGTTTGTGCCTTCTGAATTGCTCTGTATCCAGATGAGAACACCAGATGATAGTAGTAGGATTAATTGTACTGTAGTTCTTTCTTCTTTCCACTGAAATGTGTGCATGTTAAAGATTTAAGAAATTATTCTTCTGTGAGTACCTGAGAGCAATGTGATTGATTTTTTTAGGGGAGTCCCATAACAGCTGCCTCTGTCCCTTTTTGCTATTCCTTCAAACAGTTCATCTTTTGGCTGAAGATAACTGAATGGTCTTGTTATTTTTGGTTAGCTCAGGGTGTTGGAACATTGAGGAAATATTTGGGCTTTGAGTAACTTATTGGCAGGTAGAGAAAACACCTTGTCGTATGGCATATGTACGAAATCCTGATGTTACTGGATTCCACACAGCAGAAGTGAGGCTTTCTGGAAAACAAACTTTGTCACGTTTAGCCTGTAATAGTGCTAAAAGTACAGTTTTAGTAATAAGGCATTTAGGAGCTGAATGATTTTGTGGTATAAACTTCGTTGAAAAGAATATGAAGCTGGCCAGAAAACTGCTCTTCAGGTGCTGGGGGGTGTGTAAAAGGCTGGTGTTGTGAACAAGGCTGCTGGGAGACAACCTAATGGAGACCTCTAGGGTGCTGCTTCACAGGGGTGCCTGGACTTGCTTAGAAAGCTGTTTGGTAGCTGCTGGATGAGAATATCAGTTCTGTATTTTCTTTTCCTACTCTAGACTGTCAGGAGTCTGTTTTTATCTCTTTCTGATAATTCTTTTATCAAAGCAAAGCAAACTTTTTTTTTTTTTTTTTATATTAGTCCCTCTTTTTAGTGGTTAAAATAGATCATGGCTAGATGTTTTGTATGCTACCCTAATACATTTGTTAGAAGTCTCTGTTCCTGGCATCAGGAAATGACACATGGTCTTGTATTTTGAACTTTTTCTTTGTTCATAGCTTGTGTGGCTGTATGCTTTAAAATAAATATTTTTTACACAAGCTGTGACTCAAGCCCCACTTCTGAACTATTTGTACATATCTTCGTTTTACAACAAACAGTTCAACTTGGTAAGTCCTATGAACTCACATCTCATTGTAAATGACACTTAATATACTAGTCTTCATAGGCAGCATGCTGACTTAATATTTTTCTGATTACTGCTTAGTATGATAATACAGTAAGTAATACTCCACTATAGGTTGTGTCCTGGGTGAGTGGATAAGTTGAATTTTCCTATACTGTCCTATAATGAAGTCTTAGTTTTGTAGCATGTTCTGTGACGATGACATACAGTCTTGTTACTGTATTTCTTGTATAGATCTCAAGATTTCTGACTGTCCTCTTACTGAAATTTTTTCTTCATTAAACTTGAGCTGTCATGAACAGATTATCTAGTTCAGCCTCATGTTAACTCATAAAAATGGAGGGAAGTCCAACATAGATGCTCCTGAACACACTTATTCCTGTTCTAATTTATCTTGCTCCTGACAGTGTATGGAGTTTGAAAACTGAAGTGCTCTCAATCCTAGAGTTGGAGACTGTTTCCGTCAGTGATGGTTATCTTTATCAAGGAAGGTGAAAATGAATTCTTTCCTTAGCTCATGATAGTTAAAATGTAATATACTTCAAAGAATGTTTTCTCTCCCATTACAAGCCTATTTGGTTTGAGGGAGGAAGACTTCTAATTTACAAGTGGGCATGGCTTATGATAGGTAGTAGCATCATCTTGAGACTGTATACTATGATACTGTTTTTTTCCTTCTGTTTTGAAGGTCCGGGCTTAGACGTGGGTTAAGGATTCTCTTTGGCAATCTAAATGCTGCTTTTGTTATGATGGGTTACTTGTTTTACAGAAATCAGGTTTAATAGCCTTGGAACCCTCAAAGCATAGTTCATGAACTTTTATGGAAAACCTAGTTTCACTAGGACTTTGTCCCAGTTTTTACACCTAGAGCAGCGGGAGCTCTAAACTGGTTTGTGGGTTTAACTTGCACACTGAGATTGGTACAACCCTTTCTTTCTAGTTAACTTCTTGTCCCCACCTTGCGTGATGGATAGTGATGCCAAGAACAAGTGCTTTAGGTTGTTTGAATATAAATGGTGCTGGGAAACTTGTTGCCAGATTTCACTCCTTCTTTATGTGAATCTGAGACAGAGATGTGCTTGTGTATGCATGTGTGGTTGATAATTAATATTAGGAATACCTGGAGGTACATTAATATTAGGAATAGCTGAAGTTAACGCCAAGTAGATTTCACTGTGTTGGTTCAGTGAAACTGCTGTAGCAGTGATAGCTCAGTAGCATAAAAATGCTTGTGTACATGTGCATGTTGTAGAGTGTACTTAAAACAGCTTTGTTGTGATACACATGTTGGGTTGGCCTCTTGAATGAGCGTGGCATAGTAACCCTATCTGCTTATAGCTAATGGAGTAGCCCTCTTTAAAGGAGAATGTGGATGGATGACTTGGAAGGAAGTTGTGATGCTGTAATTACCCATTCCTAACAGGAAATATCTCTATAATTAAGCTAGAGTGTAATTTCCTTGATTTCTTATTGTAAAAGAAAAAGTATATTTTTAAGGAAGATAGTAAACTAGAACCCTGCCCTGAGTTGGGTAGATGTCTATGAAAAGCTGTGTAAGTGAAAGTAAACTTGAGGGAACTTGTTGGGAACTTAATTCCTAAGTCACTAGTGTCAGCTGCTTTGGTTTTGTCTAGAGGCTACTACTAGGACAGAGGAAAGCCCAGCTAAAGACTTGCTTCATGTCTGTGCTGGGAACAGCTTCTATTTCAAAATGAGATCGTACAAAGAGGGTAACTTGTAGAACTGAGAAACAAGGATCATTGTTATTCCCTGGATCACCCAAGAGATTTGTAGGAAAGCTGGGAAAACCAGCATTGTAAGTGTTCACTTGCCTTTACATGCTAAAGTGTAACTGGGTGATGAGGTGAATTAGCTCCTAGTTCTGTGGATGCTTCTGTGTTCTCCAGTAGAAACAGATTATCCACGTTCCTTTTATGGTATTGTAGTGCTTCAACAGACTCATATTTTGTCTCTGGTTTTGGCAGAATCACCTGAAGTTTCTTGCAGCTTTGCTTCCCATTCTGTAATTGACTTAAATTTCTGGAGGCTATCCGTTGTTATTTTTGCTTAGAAATATTCTTTGTAACTTTAATTATTTCAAATACAGATAATTGCATTTTTACAACTTTCTTTTGAAGTATTCAGTTTTCTCTCTGAGTTTTTTTTTTCTGATTCCTTCATAATTTTTCCTTAGCCAACTTTTTTACTTTTTACTAGAATTCCTTTGGAATATTTGTTCGTGCCTTTTAGTAGAGTATGAGAACTATCATACTCCTCCTGGCTGCCAGAGGCACAATTTTCTGCTACAGCTGC